GATTTAGAAGACTAGGTAGAGTTTCGCTCCTTACTGAGGCCCAGCAAGAGGGAGTATATTATACAAGTGTATCGCAATTTTTACTACATGGCCAGTGATAGAGATTTTGGTGCTATTTAATGTCCACCCATGTTAACTTTGGATTGACAGCAAAAAAAAAAAAAAAAAAAAAAATCCCATCAACGTTGGATTTTTTATTTTATTCGACCGTTCTTATTCACCCCGATGTTGGGGATTCACTTCGATGTTGGGGTGATTAGGAACAGAACGAAACACTTAACTGCTCCTAGTGTACCCTCAGCTGAGGGGAATAGGGACTACATGGGCTTTTTTTTTTCAAACAACACAATGCTTGTAGAAGTATTTTAACGATTTTTATCAGAAATTGTAATGACAAAGCTCCATCTATAGTAACAGGGTCATCTGACAGATTGGTCTCATAATAATTCACCATTTTACTGGGGGTATACAGGCCGTCAGCTGGACTGGAAAATTCGTTCTTTTCGCTCCAGCAATCGCGGGTCTAAATTTTTTTAACAGTTGTACCGAAATACACTACCAAAGAATGATACTACAAAAGTTCTCCACATTTCGTCCAGCAGTTTTTTGATAATTTGACTCGAAAAAGCGGACTATTTGTCCATTGTGGACGTTCAAAAACGTACCGCGCCTACGTTAAAAAAATCCGCCGCGTATGACGCATCGTACCACGTGACGTGAACTGTCCAATTAGACATCAGATATGAGGTCGCAGGTCATGACATTTAACAAACATGGCAGCGTCCATTGGCAAAAGTGCGTCAACGTAAACATCGACCGGTGAAAAAAAGAAGTGTTTGCACTCATAATCTGTCACGTTTGAGGGGGTAAATGCGAAGGATCTGATGCCGGTGGTAGTAAGTTCATTTCCTGTGCCAAAGAGTGGCTGATTTTCACAATGGCATCGCCGAATATACCCACGATGTGTGGGCAGTGGATCTGCTATGTCTGTATATACAGTGTATCGTACTGCACAGTCATGACAGTACTACTACATCATACACTACCGGCGCATGTAAACAAGGCAGTCCGGCCGGCCGATCTCACCCATGGCGATTTTTATAGATAGTAAACGTCTCGGTGCTGCAAGAAAACGCAAACCAGACACTTCAGCTGAGACCCAGATTTCTTCACCGAAAAAGCTCCGGGCAAAGTTCAAGTTTCTTTTAATTGCCTATCTACATAACTGTGTCATGCTGCACACAAACTCAACCAGGATTTCGATTTCGATGAAAACCTCAATTCAAGGAAAGCTGCTAGCTGCAACAGTACAACAAGCAGAACTTCCGTTGGAGGTAGGCCTACATGTCATTATAATGAAGGCGATTGTGTATTTATGTGCCCCGAAAAAGAACAAAAAAAACATGTTTGGGTTTACTTGTCTTGAATTAAGGGTAAGGTTAGGTTTTAATTTCTTTGAGGGAAACTGGGGTGTCACAACGATAAAAACGAAATGCAAAAACAAAGCTGGTGGTCACCACGATGCACCGTGAATGCACAGAACCGCATCGATTTGGATGGCGTCAACTGAAAATGCACAGAAAAAATTATTTTCTTGCAAAAGATACCATTCAAAATGATAACAGATTCCTGGTTATAAAAACACACCTTTTCTTTCTCTACGGCATTGGACTGTTGGGTACGTCACTTGTTTACTGAATGGTTCTTGGACTTTACTTTCCTTTTAGAAAAATTCTCTTAAGTCAAAGAAGAAAAATGTCTTCAATGACAAAGGTCTTATTTGAAAAACCTAGTAAAAAAGGGTGTTTTTTTTTTAGTTCCATGATTCAAACCGAGTACCTCTGGCACTGAAAATAAATGTCTAACGTTAAGATGCCAAAGTACAACGGGTACTGCACAAAATTCCATAATAAAATGTTGTGCAGTCTCTTTCTCCATAGTTGAAGGATACTTTTATGGAGGTGTGAGGGTAGTCTTTCCCTTTGTATAAAATAGCAAAATAGCTTTTTATAGAATTTACTATTTTATTCTATATATATAGGCCTAAAGGATGAACGTCAGGAAAAGGGAGATGTTCTGCGACTGACTGTTCAACCCCGATCAACAACTTAGTTTCATGAGAATGTCCCAGCTTGCTGAACTGTTGGAATCATGAAATGATTTAGAAGCCGAAGGAACTGGCCTTGGATCTTTATATCGGTAAGATGTTTTGATTGTTATTCAGAGTGCAAACAGAAATAAACTTTAATAGAATATTCAAAATGAAAACCTCTGGATATTGCTTTGGAAGCTGAAAAGGTTGGTTCTCAATAGCTACCAATGTTTACATATTTACAGTGGAAGGCAAAACGATCGGGCACGTGATCTTTCTAGTAATTTAACTCTAGATTGAACAACTTGTTTTCTTTCTTCTAAAGCACATCCACAGTAATCATTGTTTTTGATCATCAGATACTAAACCTGTCTATATTTTACTATTTTCTTTTTTTACAGAACTGATAAGTTGACATATCGGCTTAGAAGAGAATATCCACAGGTCTCTTTCCTTGAATATATGCAACATCATCTACACCGCTACTTTATCTGCTGGATGTGTGGTTGAATCTCTGGGGACTTCAGAGGAGGATTCAAAACTGAAACTTTGGCTTAGAAAGCAAGACATATGCTCCATCCTGTTGTTATGCCGTTACTGCACAAGATTTGATGAGAACTTTGATGTAGTGATAACATTTACTTGAAGTTGTATCAGCACGACTAGTTAGCATTTGACATTATAATGAAAATAATGAGTAACTCTAGATTTCAAAACTACATAATTGTATCTTTCTGTTCATTAGTGTTGGTTTTATTCATTTTAATTCTTTTCAATTATTAAAAATTAGTTCCAGTAGAAAGGCAAATTCTGTGAATGTTAACAGTGAGACTAGCCACATATGACAAGCCAAATCACTCTCTTTAATGTGTAAGCATACAAAATAGCATGAGTTATGGTTTTGTTTTCTTTTTATTGATATACATGCATTTTTCGATGCTAATCAATGTATCAATAAATTAAAAGCTGAAATTTTCTTTGACAAAAGACTGATCTTAAGGCTTTTCTCCAAACCAAGATGGCTGTTTTGATTAGGTAGCAAATAAATAAACAATGGTTGATTTTTGAAATTATTAAACCAGACTCTGACTTCTATCTGATGGTCCTTTGATTTATAATTGTATTTAAAGCCTGTTTCATTCCAAAAAAGGTGGTCTTTCTTACAAGTAGAAGGTTCTTTAAGTGACGTACCTGGTTCACCACAGCAGATCCAGAGGGTTTGGGGGCATAGCACCCATTTTTTGTATTTTTTTATATGCGTTAGTTTGCTTTGTTTAAAGGGACATATCTTGTCTGCTTTCCTGTTTCTTCTGCTGGTTACATGTACAGGTATTTATTTACTCTAAAGACACCTCCATTTTGGGCACCCCCTCATTCCACCACTGCATTATAAACCTTCAAAAAAATTGTTCGGTGTGACCCAATTGTCAATGTACATAAAAGATATTTTTTAACTCTATAATCTCCTGGGTCAGATTGACCCAGAATCTGAATCCAAATTTGCTCAGTCCTTTTCTGGGTAAAAAAAATACACATTTCAGTCAAAATTACCGAGAAACATGTCTTTTTTTTTACTCCAAAGGGGTCATTTATGACTCCAAAAGGGGTCAATTTTTGACCCGGAAAAGGACTGAGCAGACTGAGTCTGACCCAGGAGTTTCTAGAGTGTAGGATATGACAAGCTATAGTGCTGTACGTGCGTAGTTTTGAAATTGGAAGTGCCAACGCAAGGCCTCAAACCGGAAAATGTGGGTTTTTAGCATACATACATGTACATAACATTGGCAAACTTTGATGAAGTGTAAAAAAAAAACTGCAGCATATTTGCTGGAGAACTTTTGACATAGTGTTTGTGATGTACTAAACCCCACATATGTGCATTAAAAAAGTAGACCCAGTGTTGCTGGAACGAAACTCATTTTACAGCCGGTTTTTGAGTTTCAGCTGATGGCCTATATCGTTTAAAGTCTTGACCAGGTTGTCGAAGTATTCATTGATAGCTTATCTAGACCAAGCATCTCGTGACCGTTTTATGTTCTCGCAAATGCGTGTGCCACACTGTCTTTATTTTGCTTCAGGACAGAATTCACCCATTCAATACCGGGCATTGAATGGTTTTGGAATCGGTTCTGCTTGACCCTATTCACTGCGGCCCTACATTTGAACAGGTTTCAAAGTTTATTTGTCCAAGTAACCTTTGACGAGATGCCTCAACTCTCGAGTGCCTAATGGATATATAGTCCCATTCGGCACTAGTCTGGATTCCCTAAGGAGATGATCCCCAAAGGTCTTGTCAGAAATCGTCTGTACACCTATGGAAAGAGTGTCAGGGTGCTTGAGGTGCCTGAAAATGACTGTTTTGGGGATGCCATACAGTTCTTATGCTTTCCTGTGGCTCAACTCTCATCTTTACTGTGCTCTTCATATATCTTTTGGCCACAGGCTTTGGTTTAAAGTCACGTGGCATCCTGTCTCTTTTTTACCACGGTTGTTTTGCAAAAACGTGAAAATAAAGCTTAAAAGAAAGGACAAAATATCAGCACAACTTCAAATGCTTCCCAGCTCAAACCTTACATACAAGACCATATTTGTGAGGTCTTGATGTGAAATCAGATGGTTCTCTCAAGAAAATCCCAAGATGCAATGTTTTGACAACATTAGGATTTGAGACGTTTTCCAAGACATCGGATTTTCTTTCACGCAGGGGTACATGTTAGTTGTTTCCCATCACGTGGGTCATGGCTGGGCAGCTGGATGCATGTGGTACATATATTTCAGATGTGTGTCCCTATTCACCTCTTTGTTCCTATTCCTCCCGTTTTATGGGTACCCGGCCCATATTGTTGATAGTGCAATGGTTTTTCCAAACATTTTACCTACGGCAAGTCAGAGTGCTAATAATATATCTATTCACGTTCGATCATCCTTGTCTCAATGTCGCCAGTAGAACATGGCGACAAAGTGAGACACGAGCTTTTTGGGGTCTCCGTGTAAAAAATCCTTAGTATGTTCGTTATCCTAGCCTCAGCATACGTAGATATCATACCAATTGTCAATAAGGACATACTCAAGCCTTGGAGACCGTTTGGTGAGAAAGAAAACGACAAAATCAGTGAGCGATCCTGGATCACCACCAACGTTATCGCCACAGTCTGCAAACCCAAGCACAGAGCAGTCCCTTTCCGACACCGACGAGTTTAAACACCTTGTCCGTCAAACCCTGACAGAGATTCAATCAGGACAAAAAGAGTTACGTAACTGCATACATAGGCTGGAACAGAATATCAATGACTCCATTGAATTCCAGAGTAAGCGTATTGACGGCTTGGAGTTGAAGATAAAAGAACTTGACCGGATAACTGCAGTGGTTGCCAAGGCTGAGAAAACCATGGCCGACCATGCCGAGCAGCTAAACAAGCTGGAACGCTTCTCTCGGAGAAATAATCTTCGGGTTATCGGCTTCCCACAGCAGAAAGTTGAAGACTGCCTGGCTCTCGCTCACAATCTCTTCAAGGAGAAATTCAAGATGCCAGATGCAAAGCTGGAACGAGCTCACCGTGATGGCCCAAAGATGGACGGCAGACCACAGCACCTTCTTATCAAGCTGAACTGCTATCAGGACAAAATCAAGATCCTCCAGCAACAGCGACAAGTCCGGACAAGTCGAAGACCTGACCAGAGCCGACCTGCAAGAGAAGAGAAAATGGTCAACACAAGCCTCCGCAGCGAACAAGGAGGGAATGAAGTACAGGTTCGTAGCCGGTAAGTGGAGAGGTGCAGGCGGCGCACTAGCTGACTTCTACCTTTAAGCATCACATCAATCTGCATGCTTCCACTGTATATCTATGTACTGTATATGTTATGTTTGCTGCAAATCATCGCATTAACCATCCATTATGATTTTTACATCGAACTTTTTATCTATTACATTCATTCGCTTGAAATTGATTGCTTCAATTTATTTGTTTTGCATCTTAATCTCCTTGTGATTGGTTAAATTATTGTTACTGGTTTGTTCATGCTTGGGTTCCTTCTCCACTTACATACTGTTTACTTTACATACTGTTTACTTAAGTTAAGTTTTTGTTTTGTATATCGTATTGTATTGTTTATCTTTCGTCCAAATGACCCTAGCTGACTTTGTTGACAATATTTCTTTTTCTGATGATGATGTTTTTAATGATGAACAATGTGCCTATTTTGAGTCTACTGAATTTACTCTATTTGTTAGTCCCCCATTGACTTGCATTTTTTCCCGTTTCTCCTTTTGCCTTTACATACTGTTTACTTTACATACTGTTTACTTAAGTTAAGTTTTTGTTTTGTATATCGTATTGTATTGTTTATCTTTCGTCCAAATGACCCTAGCTGACTTTGTTGACAATATTTCTTTTTCTGATGATGATGTTTTTAATGATGGACAATGTGCCTATTTTGAGTCTACTGAATTTAATGATTTAAATATCTCTACACCAGGTATCTTCTCTATCTTTTACGTGAATTCCAGGAGTCTCTTCGACATAACAGATTACTTGGCTAGTCTTAACCACTCTTTCTCCATCTACGGGTTCACTGAAGCTTGGTTTCAAACAATCCCTCCGCCCTATGTTCACATGGATAATTTCCGTCTAGTTCATTCCTCACGTTCCGATAAACCTGGCAGAGGGGTAGCCATGTTTGTCAAGAACTCGCTGAATTTTCGGATCCGTGAAGACCTCATGCCTTCTCATAATGGCTTTGAGACAGTTTTTTATCGAAATTCAGCGTGACAAAGCTAGCAATCGTGTTGTGGGAAATGTCTACAGGGATCCTGGTACTTCATTTGACAACTTTAACGAGGCTTTTGGTACCTGCCTAGATAAGATAACAAAGGAGGGAAAGCTGTGTTACATAATGGGTGATTTCAGCCTTAATATACTTCATTGTGCAGATCACCAACCCGCGGACGACTTTGTGAATGCTGTCTTGGCCTGTGGTTTCCATCCTTTAATCACAAAACCCACTCGCATCACTCCCCATTCTTCCACACTAATAGACAACATACTAACCTATTCTGATCTAAACACTACAGCTGGGATTCTGTACTCTGACATCTCTGATCACTATCCACTCTTCCGATTCACTACTTCTTGTCTCCAGAGCTCTGAATCCTCTCCTTAAACATATCTTTCAAGGGATATTAACACGGAATCCCTCAGTTCATTTAAGCAAGACCTCGGCAGCATTGAGTGGAGTGACGTGTATCTAGCTCAGGACTCTGATACTGCATATAACACTTTCCTTTCCATTTTCTCCTCCTGCTATAATCACCATTTTCCCCTCACTCTTAAACAAGCTATTTACCAGTCTTTCTTTTATTTATGGATGTATTCTCTAAAGGAGTGTGGAATAAATGTCTTCTTGAATTGAATGTCACCCATTAATTTAATTCTCAGATACACCATCGTTGGCTTTTACAGACCTTGATGCAAATTTTCTCAACAATACTGAACGAAAAAAGCTGCCACAAACATTCCCATACTTGTTGCTGCCCCACTGCGTACGGATTATATACATGTACCATACCATATAGGTAAAACATATTATGGCGATATGGAACTACATGCATTGCAGGTGCTTTTCATTTCGTTCGGAGAACTCGCATAAGTAATTAAACAAATATTTAATGGGCAAACTCAACATGTTTTTCTTTGGTAATGAGCGATTGGCTCACACTATCAGCAACCCACATGCACATCGCATAAATTAATTTGCAAACAGTAAAAATACAACTTTTTAAAATTGAACTATAACTTACAAGTAGAAAATAATGATAAAATATCCCCACATCACAGTTACTCAACAATTGTCAAACGATATAATTCAACTTCACATTTCAACTTAATTATAGACAAGCTCAGTAGGCATCTCAAATAAACTTAAATTAAATATAGAACCATCATCACACGATATTCACGGGCTCACGGCAGATAATAAAGAAACTATGCAGCAGAACATTATACTCACACACACTGTTCTCTATATGTTGTCCCTTAAACTCTGTTCACGGTACGTGTAGTGGTCGAATGTATTTTCACTGGATAAAGCTTAGACTCAATCATTTTAACTTGGCCAAAGCTTGACTTCAGGAAAAGTGACTACACTCGAATTGGACTTGATTTGCTTGGCCTCAACCCAGACTGGACTTGACTATAACACTGCGGACAGGAGTTCAACCCCATGTGACAACAACAGTATCAGCGTTTGAATTGAAACTTCAAGTTAATCTGCAAGTTCCCGTACCAAACACGATCACACTTTAAATCTGAATCCCTTTGCCAACTTGTCACGGCTGAAGACACGGCTGAAGACACCAATATCCTTGTCCAATAGCTAAAATAGCTTAAATTGTAAACTGCACTCAAAATTTGTACAATATTTCTGACCCTGTAAACAGCAGTACTACCAGCAAAATTAATTATCACTAAATGATTCCACACACACTGAAAAGAAAGAATGGCTACTCACTTACAGAAACTCCGCTCCTAGATGCAGCACTACACACTTAACTGTGGCTTGCCTCACAAACATACTCTTCCAGAAATCAAATCAAAGATTGTTATACTAAAAAGGTACAGTGCGGATTCGACGAGAACGGAATCCAAGTTTACTCTCAAAGGCGAAGGCGCGCAAATGATAGAACCACTTTCGCCTAGCCCCTTTTTTGTCACCGTCACCACGAAGTGACACTGACGTTGAAAAATCAAATATTTTGCAATTTCGATTTTGTGTGTGATTAATTACACATAATCTATCACCTTAAGAAATTATTATTCACAGATTTAATTAGTTTTGTCAAAATATTAATTAACATTATTTAACGTTTGTAACATTAATGGGTCAAACTGGAAAACGCGTTTTCACGAAATGTACTTACCATTCTTTGTCGTGTAACCTGCCTGCACACTACGCGTCAATAATGGGTTTTGCGTTTTCACGAAGTTGCGGGGGTTAAGGTCACTTCGAGGTGACGGTGACGATTTATAGTCGTCGACGTCATACACGGAGGGATGGGCAGAATTGGACAATTGTCAGACCCCTATGAGTCCCGTGTCCCACACAAATTATAGCTGGTTCGGTTCCTTTTGCAAACCTAGGGATATATCTGGAAACCTGACCTCAAACACACGTGTAAATGATGACAGGCAACAGTTCATGCTTCTGTTATCTCATTGGTCGATATGCGTCTGTGCTGTGCTACCCTGTACTTTGATTGGCCTATTTCTCCTGCGCACAGGCATGGGTCACACTGAACATAACACCTTATTGGTACGCACGCAGATATTTAAATGTGGTTGACAATCTTAGCTTCGCCATAGAGCACGTTCAATCGTAAACTCGGTTTATAAGTTCAGTCATTCATTGTTTCAACATCTCTGTCTCATTTATTCGGTTTGAACCCAGGCGTTATGCCTTGCGATGGATTTTAGCAGATTATTGGAATCGTATATCTTCTTGCGTTGAGGCGCTGGTGGGTTTTTGCGGTGTATAATCGATGGAATTGTTACAGATCTAGGTTTTAGTGATTCGCCAAGGGACATGATTTTTTGTAGCAATAGTCTCTGGATTGTTGGAGGTGTTGGTGCTCAGTGTTTGCTGGAAAACAACCTAGTCGTCTGCACACACAAGGGGTTAGTTTAATACATTTTTTGACATTAACACGTTCACAGAGCTCGGATAAAACAGTTCCGTTTTCGACATTCGAGTTGGGTATGGAAGACAAGAGTAAATAACAAGATGGGGCTCTATATATTGTGTAGGAGAGCCCTAAAACTGAAGATAGTAACACACTTACACAAGAAAAAAGACGGGCACATGAAACAACCAGTCTAGCACCCTTTAGTAATGCATCAATGAACTGTGTCAAAAGAAACCTTCTGGCGCTGTTCTCTTTTTGAACAATTTACCTATAGTCGTGCCACCAGAGCACTCAGGTTATAAAAATTAACTCATCAACGATTCACCTATTGTATGCACACTGAGAATCTGAAAAATACAAATATTAAATAATACAATCTTTTCACTTTAGTTTAGATATATAAGAATTTCAGAAGACATAGGTCTAATTAGAGGAACGATTGTGATTGGTCAATGTGGGAGTCGTGAGATTGAAATTCTGTTGCTGATTGGCGAACATTGCAGGTTTACATGGGCGAACGTGATAATTCCATAAAAGAGTTGTTGAAAATGATGATTCTTAAGCCTATACATGTGGAGGTGTTACCAATACAGGTCAGAATAAAGCTTCCTGCTACTATTCATGCTAATGCGGGCGAATATTTCTGGGAATACTTCGGGGAGGCCCGTGCCGAATTCGCCAAGACTGGATTTGGTTTGTCTCGTCGATAGCGCCCTCTCAGGTTGATGTCGGTTGGTTGCACCCGGACAGACTTTAAGTAGATGAATATAACCTGCAAATCGAGTCCTGGGCCAAGACTGCCACACAGCATACTGATGGGATTGTGTACATATTTACGCCGACTGAAAAATTAAGTAGCGTGACGTAAACATGTGTGAATAACGCGGTGGTACCGAGCAGAGTTTTAGCCCTTCTCCTTTCTCAAGAAAACCCCTCTTTATTGGAAGTTGTCTTGGTGTTTCTGACCCATCTCCCTTACAGAACGGCTAAAACGCGCTGTCCGTGCCATTCACCGGAAAATCTAGCCCGGCGTATTAACAGAGCCTGTGACAGTAACGTGTGCTAGATTATCCACTGAATTCATCTTGAGAGATAAGCATACCTAATTACTGAGACCGT